TAGTGAACTGAAAGAAGATGCAAGGAAACATTTAAAGAAAGTACAAACATTCACAGAGAGTACATTTTGCATTCTCTGTCGGTGTGAAAGCCTCAAGGGCTCTTTCACTTTTGCTTTGACAAGAAGTCCAACATTTTTCTCTTTGTTAACTAAAAACACAGATTGGACTCACCTTTGTTTCTTTTTTCTAGTGTTGTCTGAGTTGATTTGTGAAATTTCCTGTAAACAAATACAGTATGAGGCAGTTTGGTCATTTTATCTAGAAACTTTAACATGCAGAGTCATGTGTTGTTGTATATATTTATTTGAAATTGTGAAATTATGTGAAACGTGTTCTCAAGATTTCGCAGGCCTGTCATTTCAGGTTTCTCTCTCATAGGCAGGCCTCAAATAGACCTTAATATATTTCCATATGGTTACAGCACAATCTATTAGCAGCAGCTTTCATTTAATGGTAGCTCATCATGTCCACAGCAGTGTTATAGCGTGCGTCCAGATGGCCGATACATTTCCCATGACAGTGCAGTATACGGATTCAACATTCCAGCAGTCATTTCTATAGTTACCATGGAGATGGAACGGCCCGCACTTCTCCATTTGGTGGCGTCGTCTGAGAGAACAGCTGGGCTGCAGGACCTGCTGGGGATGGTGTACACCTGAGCCTCACAGGACTCCTGCACGGCCTCGTACAGGCTGTCCATAGAGCCCTCCTACAAAACAACATCATGTCGGTCACAACCCACGCTGCTAATAATGTAAAGTAAAATGTATGTAAGACTCACTAAATATCTGATTTATTACGAGGGTCTTCAATCCCCCCGACGGACCTTGTTACAAACATGATTATTATAGTTAACTAACACTAAAATCTTAAAAGAATTTGTTACTAGAAATAAAATAAACTGAAATAAAAAATCTAAAAGTATTAAATGAAATATAAAAATAATACATTTAAAAGCTAATAAAATGACAAAAACAGAACAAAATTACTAAAACTTTAAAATTTCATTTTCATTTAGTTTATCTTAATGTATTAAAATAAATAAAACTGAAATAAAAATAAACTATATGACAAAAAACAACAAAATTATTAAAACTTTAACTAAAATGAACATAAACAGAAAATCTAAAAATAAAAAAACTTTCAAAATATTAGATACAAAAAAGATAATAAAATAACCCTGTTTGTACCTTGTATAAAATTAAGTGTTGCATTTTAAGCCTGGCATTTTAAACAGGCATATAGTATAATAATAATATAAAATAATTAATAATCAACATTAAAATAATTGTTGATATACAGTGTCATACGCAAGTGCATTTAAAATTAACTTTCTAAAATGTATTATGGTTGTAACAGTGGAGCATTTTGCTTAATTTAAGCTTCTTAACTTTAGCTTTGGTTGAAATTAAGTTTATAATGTAGTTTTGTCTAAAGCAAATCATCTCTTTTTTAAACAAAAATTTGTCAGAAATCAAGCAATTAATGTAGTACAACCACCGATCCACTAGGGGTCACAGACCACCTGTTTAAGACCCTGATTTATTACACAGTGTTTGTAGTGCATTTGAGTGCAAATCCATTTGTGCAAAAGATGACACAAATAACCAGAAGCATTAGTTTGCTTACAGAAGATCAGACCAGCGTGAATTCAGTGAAGCGAGACCACCATTAATCATAGACTGCACAAAACAACACTGCATCTGGCAGAGAAACTCAGTTCAATCTACACATTTCACCAATGTGTTTTGTTTTTATAAAGTAAAATAATAATAATAATAATAATTAAATTAAAATATTGTGAAGGTAAGATAAATAAAATGTATCTTTAATGCAAGGGCTACACATGTAAGCCATAAGAAACTAATAACTTGACTTCTTAACCAAAAGAAAGCACAACAAAAGGCCCTCGTAAGCAGCTAAAGCTTGGTTCCTTCCTGATCTTCATGCACTGTCACATGTTGCCTTCACATCCTCCAGGAGGTCACGTTTCATCCACACACTGTCAGTCTACAAACCACAGAGCAGAAAAGGTGAATCACTTACCAGAGAAAAGCAGAAGAGATTCATTCTGGAAAGTATGGTTTCTTTCCAGTGCCCACAGCACAGGATGAACAATGGGACGAGCCAGAGGCAGACACTGAGCAGAGTGCTTTGTGTTCCAGGCTGCCTACTGCTCACAGATTAATACTGAATGACATCCTTCCTCTAATCCAATAGATGTGGAGGACCATTACCACTCCAGGCAGCCCCTCAATCAACTGCTGAGCTCGTTAATGCTGATGTTGTTTACTTACCAGTGAACTGGGTTGAGAGCTTTTGTTTGCACTATGACAGTCACCACAACAGACGTTTGCGTAATTTACTGTAAACGCCAGTCACTGGACTCATTTAAAAATGTGGTACATAGGTATGTAAAAGTTGTTTTTTTATATATATATATATATATATTTGCAAATTTTTGGATGCAGCACTTACTCCAGACAACTGAAACTAAAAAAAAAGTTTTTTTTTTTTTTTTTTATATATTATTGTTTACAAATATTTTATTTAGCCATATTTTCTCTAAAAAGTACATTCAATTTAGACTGAAAACAAACAAGTTTTATAGGAACAGAACACCTGCAGTCTCTACACAAGGAGCTTATTTCATGCTGGTGACATAGAAATATACTTGAATATGGCAGTGAGAAATATTTTATTAACCGAGCACCATGTTCTGACTCCATCCACAGGGAAAGGGAAATGAAGGTGACATTAAAGCACAGCCCTTAGGAGAATTCATCATTCAAGTACCTTCAAAAAGCTTGACTGCACTGTAAAATACATTAGGTAACCTAAAATATACTTCATGTGGAACCATCTGAACTAACTTTAGCTCAAAAATGGTATTTAATACGACTGAATCATCCTCACTACATAAGATTACACCATCGAAAGAACTGTAAAGCTCAGGTCACACAGAAATTTCCCCTTAAGTGCAATTTCACTTTCTACATTCTACTCAAGAAGTGTGGAATGACATTTTGTAATAAGAATTTTATTCACTTATGCAAAGCTTTTTTCTTCCATTCTCAGCTAGAGGAAATCTGCCCTGCTGAGGATGCGCTGTCTTGGCATGTGACACTACCTGCTAGCACAGCTAGTGTTTCTTAGCCAAAGTGCATGTGATGTCTTGTCAACAGTCCTTAAGTCGCTTATATCTGGAATTGTCTTGAAATAGACCCAGAGGATTATGGTGCACAACGTAGCGTTTCAGACCTCAGGACAGAAGGTGAATCTGCTTCAAGAATGTCTAAGCTGGTGCAGAAAATATGTCAATATGAAACCAAGGTGTTCATGGTTTCTCTCTGACTGTGCACGCAGCTGAATGTGAAGGTCATCAGACATTTGATTTGCTTCAGTGATAATCTGCTTGTTTTGATTTTGGAAGTTTGCCCAATTATGCAATCTGTTCATTTCTTTTATGTTGCAATGAAAAGGGCAGTTTGAGGTGATGGCTGGTCTGGCACTAGCACAGCTAATGCACTCAAATAATTAATGTGCCCTCGTGAATTTAATGATAAGTTCTGCATGTTTACAAATGCATATTCTGAGGTAATTCAAGTAGCAGATTCTATTGTAAAGTCAACAAGAAATCAAAATGAAGCCTATTTAATTTCTTAATGCACGTTCCTGGTCTTATTATGCATAATCCATTGTGCAATCCATTAGTGGTGTTATTCCAAATTAATATATGCAATTGTTGCAATTGCAATCTTTATTATATGAACAAAATGTATCTTCCTCTTAAATGACTTCCCTTTATGCTGACATCATTTATTGCCAAATAGGTATTTAGGTATCATTTTAACAATTTTTTGGTGGGTAACACCCACTTTTCACTGTCCAATCAGCTTGCAGTAGATACAATTAAGCCTCATCCAACATTTTTTCCTCATTTAGTGTCAAATTACACTCAAATTGCAGAACTAAAATGTGTTGCAAACAGGAATTCACTTTGACCGTGGCCAATCCAAGATGACAAGGCCTTTTTCTACAACCTCAGCTCAGTTAAAGTTTAATCCATCACTGTTAAGTGTCCTGTTCCCCCTTTTCTTCCTCTTTCTTGACAAATCTTGGAAATCTCACTCTCCCTTAATCAGCGAAAGAGCTCAGATTCTCAGAAACGACAGCTCATTCACTCGCTCATTTCTTAGAACTTGTAAATTGACAAAAATGCCATGTCAATTCAACACACCGAGGCCTCCGGCTCTTAATCTTTTGCTGTGCATTAAAGAACATGACAAGATAAATTGCTGTGCCGGTCGCTGTGTGAAAGAAGGTGCGCAGGTTCCCAGCTGGTTATTTTTAAAGCAAGAAAATCCTCAAATCTCTTTAATAACAAACCCTGCAGTCATGGAAACGGAAATAAAGACGGGAGGATTAATTCACGTCTGACCCACATTTCCTTGTTTGAATTAACATTATTAGAAGCAGCCCAGATTTTTTGTGTAAAGGTATTTTTAAAATAATGTGTATATGCATGTATAGAAGACTGCAATGTAAATTAAAAAAATTATAATCACAGTTAGTATTATTATGCATAATATAATGAGAACAACAGTTATCTGTGCAAAAGTTACTTTTGTCATAATACACAAACTGAACAATAAACTTGTTGACTAAAACTTGTGATTGGTTGATAAAGTGTACAGAGCATCTCATCATCTCTAATGGAGTTAAGCTTGCATGGAAACATGCAAGTAATTATGTTTTAAATCACCTTTAATCAACATTCGATATGCATTTTTTTTGCATTTCGTGAGAGATATTAATGCCTGGACTGCATGTTTAGCTTCCAGTCTTCTCATCTGTTAAAAGCAGCAGTTAATCCAGACGCATATGGCATCATAACATCTCTCTTGAATGACCTACATTCCTCTGATACTCAACACACCCATACACAGCATTTTACTGAGCAAAATTTAATTCATAAATCAAATCATACAGAGCTGGGACAGAAACCAAGCTTATTAGACATTCCTTTAAGCAGTGCTATGTAAAGCAAACCATGTTGATTCAGATGGGAAAAGGTCATTAGAAAAATGAAACACCTAGAGTAACCCAGGGATATTTTTTGTGCTACGCTATTACAGTGAACATTAGTGACTGATTCGATGACTCGATGACGTTGAGAGATCAGTCACACAGATCAGAAGTGCAGCAGTAGACGTTCACTCCAGGAACGCAGAACTCCTCACATGTCCGGCTGAACACAGTGGCTATGGTTTAGAGCATAACGAGAAAACAGCTCAATATCCTATCTAAACTTCTACAATACAGACCTTTAATAAAGAAATGACATTCTCCTTTTTTAATCACCAACCGAGGGGTAATAAATATGAATCTGTTACTAAGGTTATTTTTGTTAACAAAAACTAAAATTGAAACCAAAATTTCATTACTTGAAATAAAATAAACATTAACTAAAATATATCCAATGTATTTTATTTAAGCTAGTTACCAAGGCAACATTTGTCAGTTTTGTTTAGTTTAAGTTGAAGAGCTAAAATTACAACTAAATAAACTAAAACTATATAGACATTAAAAAAAATACCAATAAAAATGACAAAAAATGCTAAAAAAGTACAAAATAGAATCAAATTCAAAATATTAACAAAAGGTAGTATATCATGATACAAAGATGACATTGGATGTTAATGACTATTGAAAACTGAGTAAATAAATAATTTTAATATTAATTGCTTACCTGTTGAAACTGTTTTGCAGAAGTTGCTTGAGGCTGGGCATTGAGTTGGGGTCTTGCATTCCCCATCCGCACAGGTGTAGCATGTCAGCGAGTGCACTATTACATATTAGACAGATAGATAGCAATAGTGAAAATATCTGCACTTCATCAGAGCATTTTGAAAAACTTTTAACTACATTCCAAAGCGTAATATTTGACAATTTACTCCACTACATTTCATAAAAACATATTTTTTTCCTCTGAGACATGATAGCAATATCCGGTTCATGAACAAATCTTTAGTTTGAATCTATTATTTTCAATTAATCATTTTATATATTTGTGAATTTGTATGATTCAGTAAGCTCTAACCCATTTTGAGCAGGAAGATAAAGGATGGATGAATGGCTAGATAGATAGATGGAAAGAGACAAGCTTTTGTCTTACCTGAGGCACTGCAGAGAAGCACCACAATAAGAGCACACACTAGCGTCTTCATGATGGAAGCTGGTCTGGCAGGGGCGTAGATTACGCGGGGGACGTGTACGTATATTACATTTCTGTCCCCCTCACTTCTGAAATGATGGCTACACCCCTGTGGTCTGGTCATGCAGAGGAACATGTTTCTTTATATACATCGGTTACACCTTTTACTGAAAATACATTCTTCCTAAAGTACATCAGTAATGCTGCATGACAGGTTTCATGTAACTAGATATAGATGTCAGCTTCTTGGACAAGGAAGTAAAATTATTTTTCGGTAATTCTCTTCTTAGCTTAATGTCTGTCCTTAGCTTGTGAATTGTTTTAGCCAAGATGCAAGATCTGAGAACTTCTATGAAGTCTGTAACTCCACAATGTCTTTTCCTAATCTTTCACTTATTTTTTCTTAATCTTTTCACTTATTTACTCATAATTTCTCTGATTTCTCTAACTCTGATAAGTTGGCTATTTTAATATTGAGATCACTATCTATTTTCCGGCACTAGCAGATACTACCACAATGCATTATATCCGTAGGAAGAACATACTTCCCCAAATATCACAATGATTGCACTTCTATTTTATAATATATTTATTTAATAATTGAAACCATAAACCACACTATCCTATGAGATGGGCATCTAAAGTGCAGAGCTCTTAAATTCAAATTCCTCCTGCATTACTAAGCCTGTCAGGTACCATAGAAATCATCCAATTAATCTGCAAACCAACAATCCTCTGGTGTTCCACTGGGATCTGTACTTGGACCACTTCTCATTCTATACTACATCACTCAGTTATGTCATAACCTCTCATGGCCTCTTACCTCTTATTAAAAATGCAAATCTCATCTCAAAGTTAAAATTACAGGCCAGCTGGCAAAATGATCTCTAATAGCATGCACCTCAGGGCCGTGAAGCCAAGTGAATTCAATGCTTATTAGAGCTGGGGCACGGACAGGCCTTATGGGTAATCTGTCTAAAGATTAGTCTTTTATTGTTTTTAGGCTCTGGCATTTCCATAGAAGTTTGAGACTAGTTATTGCTTTGAGGACAGATATTAGGGGACTGTCAATGTTCAGCTCTCATGACTAAGGTTAAATTTCCAAAATATGATGGATATTTTCCTCTTGAGAATCCAATATATCCAACGTGACCTCATGATAATTCGTATGTATTTTACGTAAAATGTGGTTCTATAAAACGTACATTTACTTACGTATGTTCAGCCTCTAAACGTACAAATACTTACGTATTTTCAGAATTTAAACGTACAAAACTGACGTATTTACGATACCTAAAAATGAATCCTTATGAATATTGAAATCTCGGCATTAATTTATTAGTTTTTAGTTGTTATATGAATTACCTTGTTAGGACTGCGGGGGCAACGCATCATTATTTGGATTACTTTTTGGTACTGCTTTTGACATTTTTGCAATAAATAAATGATTGTAATTGCATTTATCTGTCTGTCATGTTTTTTTTATACTGTACAGAAATTTTTAGGTTTCTAGGTAGGAGTGGAATTAGCGACTATAAAAATATTTTAATGCTACATTGTTACTAAAATGGTTATTTTCCTGCATATTTCGGTCATTTGCGTTTTATATCCTTTTATATTCGCTATAAAATGGGTAGGTTAAGGTTTGGGGGTAGGTTAAGGGGTCTAAAAATCTAAATCGCTTAATGATAAAATTATAAAAATGCATTGATACGAATATCTTAATGATATAAAAGATACGTAAATATTTTTACGTTTTTTAGCTACAAATACGTAGTGATTTGTACGTTTTAAACGTTGAAATACGTCTAAATTGTACGTTTTAGCATTAATAAAAACGTACAAAAGTACGTTTTGTGCTTGTAAATGTTACGTATTAATACCTACGTATAAACATGAGACCAGGCTGATACATCAGACAAGCAAAGTTTATTACAGCTTTACATAACATTGTCACTAAGGTGTCAAATTAACAGCTTTGTTAAAACAAGTACAAATGTTTAATTATCATTCTGATATCACTGCAGATGAGGCATCTAAGAAAAAAATGTTTTTCAGTAAATGCTGTAACATGTAGATGTAAACACAAGAGACACAGACAGCAGGGGGCAACAAAGATCAGAAATAATTAGATGGCAAGCATTCAGCAAATAGCCTTCATATTCATAAAGAAAAAGAAAGATAATAACAATACCGGAACATATATGATTAGTGTTTAATAAACTAATAATATACTAATATTAATATTTTATTAAATTGTATGTTATTTACATATTAGTTACATGTATCATTTCATATAAGCAGTAAAATTCATGAAGTGCACTTAAAAAAATCAGACATGTTTTAATAAATCAAGAATGTTTGAAACTATTTCAGTTTAATATACAAACTTAGCATATTATATGAAAATAATTAATAATACTTAAGATAATTAGAGCTTTGGAAGAAGAACATTAGCATTCCTCAGCCTAAACATCCATCTATCGTTCTCTCTCTTTAGTCATCCATCTATTTATTCATAAATCACTCAACCATAGCCTACATCTATCGATCCATTAATTCATTTTTTAATAAAAGCAATTTATTGGAAAGCTTACAGTTCTTTAGTATACCACTCAACAAAATGAAATCTTGGGCTTCTAATGTAATTTTTCGATGCATTAAATAAATTACTAAAAGTTCCATTTAGTAAGCAATTGATTCCTGTGTAAATAATCACTTCAATAAAATATTTTGGGATTCATTTAGCCTCTAAGCATAAAGGTGACTTATCACGACTTGTGATTTAGGGTTGCCAGTTCATACGAGCTTTAGAACTCTCTGAACTTTAGAATAGCACATTTTACAAACTTCCTAGCAGTACATCAGCTCCAAGCACAGGCAGTATGTTCTGAAAGCTGAGTAGATGCAAAGTTGAGTGTTTTATGGTTTTGAACTAAGCGTTGACCATATGACTTCTGAAGGTGAACTTGCTACTCTGCAGTGACGTCTCATAATTCCTTCACCTGTGCCAATGACCTCCAAAGGAAGACGTCTGGAACAGAACAGTCTGTCTTGAAACAAAACACTAAAACAAGCACAGTATGAAATTTTAATCTAAGTTTAATCGGATTTTTTTTAAACACTAATAGTTTGCAGTTTAGTATAATAGCCTACTTAAGAAGAGCAATAATAGGCTGCTTAATAATACTTAATAAATACTTAACAGCTTGATTTATTAACCCTTTTCACATTTCCATAGTTCTCAGAAACAGAAGATTTCATAATTGTGAAACTTCTTTAGTGGTGAACTGAAACTACAACAAATGCATTTTGTGTGTGTGATTTGCCCCATTGGCAAAAGAAATAGCATTTCTATGAATTTGCAAAAGAGGAAAAAATATTGATATATATTAAAAGCACTTCATGGAAACAGCCATAAATTAGCAAGCACCACTATGTGTCACTACAGACTGCAGTACCGCTGACAGCCAGCATATGCTGCCCTTGAGCCAATCAGTTGTGTGAGTGCTTCAAATTTTTTTTTTGATTGCATTTCACAGCCGAATGAATAAAATCTCTTCAGAATGCAGTTGGCCAAAATAATCTACAATTCTCATTTGAACAAACCAACACATCGCTTTGCCAGTACATCTCTGAAATAAATGACACCATTTGCAAACTAAAACAGTCTGACAGGGCAAGCAGTCTGATCTCGCTGCTTAAAAAAGTCATTCTCTCTTCCAAAGCGCAGTGACTGGACTGGATAGCAAAAAGCTTCAGATTTCCCATCTCCCTCAGTAAATTGCAGAAACCGAGTGTCCTCCATTAGGCGCCATAAATCCGAGTTGATGTGACAAAGGGTAATGAAGCAGCTTTCTAATCGGCCTGCCCACAGCCCCTCATGTCACACTGCAGACAAGCCTGGGCCAAATGCAGGAATGGATGTGGTTAACAGATTATCGAGCAAAGCTAAACCCACAAACGTTTATTTAGAGCCAGAAAATGGCAGCATGCATGTCGATAATGGTATACGTGAGGGATGGCTTGGCTAAATGCAGTTGAAAGTTGGTAGCATTTACAGAAATCAATAATACAGCACCAGACAAGTTTAATGAAAGAAGATGATAATGATCCTGTTTATCCTCAAGCTAAACCAGAACCTCTCTGAAAAAGAACAACGAGTCCATTTCCAAATGCTGTTTTATTGTATAAGTGGCTCTGTTTCACAAGAACAAGAACTTCCTATAAACTTGAAGCCGTGGGAGTCGAGCTTTAGCCTCTCAGGATGGTGTGTGGAACACACTGCAGCAGGATGACCTTAAACTCTGGACTTGTCCCATACAGTACATGTGTTCCTCTTGTCCTTGTCTCTGAATTGGAACAGAGCTTACTACAGCGAGACCTGGCTGGCGCTTTATCACATAAACCTTCGGTATACCTAATCAAATAACCAGCCGGGCGTGAAACCATATTCCACTCTGTTCACGTAGCCTTGCGATGTGTGCCTTGCAGAATCAAACCGGACACAGGATTAAGTGATGGAGTCGGAGTCTTCCAGAGGGCTTTGTGCTACAGCGATTAGGACAGAGGTATTAGCGTGATTGTGGGCGGTACAATACATAAAGAATGGGGAAAGAAGTGCAAAGTAGCTCTCCATGACCCATCAGGTGTTCATCTGTTGAAATATTGCCTAGTGGTGTAGTTTTTATAAAATAACAATGATGAGAGCTTTTATTTACATCAAATTTCACACCTGAAAGTAGTGAAGCAACTGGATTTGGTCAAAGAAGGAAATAATGTTGATAGAAAAGATTGAAATGATTAAGGAAAAATGTTTGTTAGATGAATGCACTCTATCAAATCTCCTTTTTTAAAAGTTGCATATATATATATATATATATATATATATACATTTGAAAACACATATATATATATATATATATATATATATATATATATTTTAATTAAAACTTTTAATACTTTATTATAAATCCTTGTTTCGATATTTTAAATAGAAAAAGTGTTCTGTAAATGCTATTATTATTATTATTATTATTATTATTACTTTATTATTATTCGGTCAGATGTTCTTGGCACAAAAGCACAAAATGCTGCAAAAATGCATTTTCACTAGTGGTCTCAGACTTTTTGATATTTTAGAATAGTTTTCTTTTTCCGATATTCTCTGTACTTTTTTTTTTTGGAGCTATTTGACACTTGCATTTCTCAATAGCGGCTAATGACTCACTATATCCACATCCCTTTCTTTGTCTCTCTGAACTCCTATCTTTGTACTCAGCTGCGAGGGGTCGTGACCTCTGTGGCCTTTTGTTCCCTCAGTGAGTTGGGTTACAGACAGTGCCTCATCAGCCATGCTGTAGATGACCTTCTGTACTCCTGTCCCTCAGAGCTATGCGGGGCCATTGGCCTCTCTGCCTCAGTGTTAAAGCTGCCTTTTATAGAGCAGCCTGCCCCAGCAGCATGCTGGGAGACGAACAGAGACAAATTGGCTTGGATTTTTTCTTCAGAATAGTTCAATCAACAAGTGCGACAGAAAAAATGAATGCAAGGTGGATATCTGTCTAATCAGGGTCTTTGATATCTCAGGCTTTCTTAAAAAACTTTGCTAACTTTAAAATGATGGCTGTGTTGCTAAAGCTTAGTGTCCTCTGTAAGAGGCTCTTAAAGCCATTCCATGTCATGCTGTAAAAATAATTAAAAGAGCAGGAAGAGGAGTTATTAAACCAAAAGGAAAGTTGCAGAAGGCGGGAGGGGTGTTCAGACAGCAGGGGTCTTTGATGAGCGTATCCGGACCGGGCCGGATGAGAGCTGAGTAATGTGGGGGAGCTTTATCCAGGTGCACACATTGTGCTCTTGAGTCTAGCACTTCTTTCTGCCTTCATCCGTCTCTCTTTCTTTCTTTTTCACTCATTCATTCTCGTTCTCCCCCCTTTTCCCTTCTCTGTCTATTCAGCTCAAGCGCCGGGAGTCAGATAGATGGTCCAGCTGCATCCTCTTGGTCACTATGTGCCAGTTTATTTAAGGTCTTCTTGGAACAGAGACCTCCCTGTGAATGTCTTAATATATAGCCTGTGTGTTCGTGTTTGTTCTCGGGAGAGCAAGTCACGGTCCCTAAATACATCTCAGGGTCGGTTAGATTTAGAACGCTGAGTAAATACTACACCGATTTTTTATGAGTGTTTGCATGAAAAGGGAGTGTAGTCATGGCTTTCTCATTATGTTTCAGACCAAGGAGGTCCGTAGCACCTGGAGAAAGCTATCCATTAGCATTCTCATTCATCTCAATGGCAGTTTCTCAGAATGGAGCAAGAACAAGAACGCACACAGTGACTCCCACAAACATCACTAGCGACTATCCTGGGATGTGACTTGAAAGGCAACAATGTAAGGCTGAATATAATAATAATGGTAGTTTATTTTTACTGCCATTCAAAAGTTTGGTGTCAGTAAATTTCTTGTTTTTGAAAGTCTCATGCGCACAATTTCTGCACTTATTTGATCAAAAATACAGTAAAAACAGTGATATTGCGAAATATTATTTATTACACTTTAAAAAATGTTTTCTATTTTAATATATTTTAAAATGTTGTTTATTCCTCTGATGGCAAGGCTGAATTTTCTGCAGCAATTACTCTGTCTTCAGTGTCACATGATCCTTCAGAAATCATTCTAATATGCTGATCTGCTGCTCAAGAAACATTTCTTATTATTACCAATGTTAAAAACAGCTGTGCTGTTTAATATTTTTGTGTAAAAAATATCTTTAACAGGTGCTTCTGACTGGGCATTTTGAGTAGACTCATTGAAATATATTGAAATATTCTATTCTCTCTCTCTCTATATATATATATAGAATATAGAATAATACATTTACCCCCAAACTGTCTCACATCAACACATTTTTTACACAATTGCACACGTTTGAACTTATTGCTATGGGATGTCTTTTTCTATCAATTCTTCAATAGGTAGATCTTGTCTTTCATAAAGGCCGAGGTCAGGGATCTTGGGCCTAAAAAGGTTGGTGACCACTGCTATAAATGAATGAAAACTGCTCTCTGATACCCAGCCTGGTCACTTCTGTCCTGGATTGGCCTTGTCAAATGCATAGAGATAGTCAGGTTTGCCATTTTTCATTTGGAACGGTCACACCACTTCTAATTAGATTCCTCATGCAATTTTGCCTCCAAAGCAGTACAGCCTTGATTTTTTATTTATTTTTTGGTCCCTCACCAGTTTTCAGCTGCTATGGGCCGTCCACAGGCCATCAATATTGATCACCTTGCTATATGAAAAAACCCTAAAATCCCCTTTATCCTGATGTAAATGACTTGCACTATTGATTAATTAATTTTAGATGTTGACATCAGCAGCATTAACATTAGAAAAATTAAAGATGTTGAATTTATTCAAGTGAATTAATTATTCATTTAATTCATGTATGCATATTTATATATTCATTCATGTATTAATTTATGCAGATTTTTGGAAGCTGTAAAATGCCATAGTCCTTCAATAGACATATGACTTTATACTACATTATACATTATACTAACAGCTCTGCCTGTCCTGCCTAGGAGGAGGTGATTCACAACTTTTATTGCACCAATACTGCCTACTCATCTGCGCTATCCCTGAGCAACCTGCGCTCTCCTGCGTCATACAACAGTGTCCTCCCTGGGACCTTTAACTTCTGATGACCCCTGAGGGGTGGAGCTCTTCATTTCCTGCCCTGCTGGTGACTCACACCCATCAATGATTTGATGTTTATCAGTCCGACCTTTCATGACCTCTCCTGTTTCCTGCTGATGACTGGATGACCCCTGTGGGTGACCTCTTGTTGATTTTTATCTGCTTTTAACACATCCAGTTTATGCCTCAATGCATCTTGTCAGAAGTGTCATGCTTGTTCATGATCCAAGCTTGTTCATACTC